TGGTATCCATGCCACTTTAGCATGCTCACGGTGCTCTGGTATCCATGCCACTTTAGCATGCTCACGGTGCTCTGGTATCCATGCCACTTTAGCATGCTCACGGTGCTCTGGTATCCATGCCACTTTAGCCTGCTCACGGTGCTCTGGTATCCATGCCACTTTAGCATGCTCACGGTGCTCTGGTATCCATGCCACTTTAGCATGCTCACGGTGCTCTGGTATCCATGCCACTTTAGCCTGCTCACGGTGCTCTGGGCCTCCGAAATCTATTTAAACAAAAACGTTTTTAATTGTTTCTTAAATGAATTTGTATCATTTACAATTCCCCTCAAAGATTGAGGCAAACTGTTTTAAAATTTTGGCGCTATCGCTTCAAAAGAGCGCACTCCGTAAGACTTTTTTCTGTGTTCATCCATTCTAGGAACACTCAGTTAGTACAGTGTTGAAGACCGCAAGCTCTTCAAGGGTACATGTTTATAAATCAGTTCCTTGAGATATTCCGGTGCTGAGCCATCTATGCAGCTGTACGTCAGGGACAGAATTTTTGTAGTTAATGCGCTCACTCACAGGAACCCAATGTAGATCTCGCAGAACTGGGGTGATGTGGTCAGATTTTTTTCATCCACGATACAATGCGTGCTGCAGTATTTTGTATCTTTTAGAGTCTCTGAATTTGGTTCTGCGGTACTTATCTTGTAAGTAAAAAGATCAATTCAATAAATTATCAATAACTTTAGACATACAATATAATATCATCAAGGTTTTGTTTTTGTTTGTTTTTTGATTTTTTTTATTTGTTGTTGTTTTTTAGTTGTCTTACTTCAATTCTTCAAAGACTTTTTTAAAATAAAAAACTCATATTTAGCACAAGATCTACACTCTGATGGTATTAGTTTTGCACCAAAACACTGACGACGAACGAGTCCAGTTTTTCCTTTCTTTTTAATTTTAAATTGATAGCTCCCATTTTCCTATTGAGTGGGGTGCGAAGATAGCATTTCCTTTTTTTAAAGGTGTTTACGTTACATCACAACCGTATTCTCATTACTGTTGTACATTTATGTGTTGTTGTTTTTTTAATAATGTATGCTAAATTACTTGCATTACTATCCTGATCCTAATTACGATTCAATTAAATTTGGGTTCGACAGTTGGACCATAATGTTGGGCACATAAACTACACTCGGTTTGAGTGAGTTTCAGTTGCTAAGTAGGTCAACCAGCCAGAAGACGCCATGTTGTAAGAAACGTTGGTGGTAAGTGTTTACAATTGTATAAATATCATTGTGCCTAAAAATCGTAACTAATTCGTTTTATAATTTTTACTGATTTTATTAATCAAATGGTATGAGTCTTCAACTGACATTCTGTGCGGACAACCTAAAAGAAGAGATGTCATAATGATCCGGACTAAATAGAGCCCGTTCCTATCAGTATTTGATTGCGACCAATCGGGACAACGGAAGCTTGTATTCTCCGAGTGCTCTTATCTGTTGTCTCTTAATCGACCCAGTTACCCCTGTTAGAGTTCCAGAAAGGAAAATAAGCAGTTCATTTTTAAAATGAAACCTGTATTTATTTATTTAATGACACCGTTTTATTTAATTATAAAAAATACAAATTAATGAAAGATGTTTGGGGTTGACCTTGCCCTTGATGGTCGCCATTTATTTTCGGTGACTCCGTACTAGGGAATAGCTTCCACTTTCGTTTTCAACCAAAGTTCTTCCTGTCTCACCATTTTCGTTTTTCTTAAATTATTTTAAAAAGCTCCACACACTCTCATCCCATAAATTATTTAAATAAAAGAAGTAGAAGGTGTTACAAGACTGCGATCTCTCAAAAATCAAATTAATAATAGCATAAGCTTGATTTAAAGTAAAGACAAAAATCAATTCAATAAATAAATAAAGATCCCATATTAAATTATATAAATTAAATAAATATAATTAATAATAAAATATAGAGTAGACATACTTACTATGACTATGACTATGATTGATACTATCATATAGTACATATATTTTATATCATATAGCATGGCATATGCCTAACGGACTTAAACTTGCCTTAGTCTTAGGCTTAGTCACTCGGACTTTCCCCAATTACCTTAATTAAAATTATTATCTGTAAAGGAAGTGTTGAGTGTAGCTTTAAATTGAAAATAATAAAAAATGAGTATTGGTAACTGTAGTCAGCATTATAAGTGGGCCTATAAGAATTATTAGTGCATATTGATAGTTTTGTTAGAATTAACTTAAGTAACATCTTGAAGTGACCAACTAAAACTCACAAATCCATAAGCACATTGAAATGTGTAGTCTATTTCTAGCTTTCTCGAAAAGTTTCTCTTGGTTCGGTATTTTTCCTAAATCATGTTATATCTATTTTCTTTAAACGATACCGGAACAGTAAACTTAATTTGTAAAAATGTTTGATACATTGACACATTGAAATGGAGAAATACCAAGATCTTAACTTGAATTAAGTCAGCAGATGATGTCAATATTTCTTTTACAAAGGTGCTTACACATTGCTTAATTAATTTTTACCATTATCAGAATTTATCAAGGTACTGTTTGAAGCATTTTAGCCATCCTTATGTAACGCAGTGTAAGATTAACTTATAGGCAAATGAAGCATGTGACTATATGCTCTGCTCATTTAAGACAAGAGGCCATGCAACAAGGATTCCAACGGGGGGGGGGGGGGGTGATTGGATTTAATTTGATATTGAATGTACTAGTAATAATGTACTGTTTAGTACTGACAGGGATCTCAAGCAACTCCGCGAAAAAAAAATCATTAAAATTTCGGGGAGAGAAAAGAAAAAAGTAAGTAACAACAACGCAAGTTGAATAATCATCAAAGGGGGATTTTGAAAGCTGGGATGAATAGAATAAAAAGTACAATGTCAGTTAACTAGGCCAGTGCAACAAAAAGTATTTTACATTTCCCAGCCCTGATATTTAAAAATATGTGCACGGGGAGAGGGGGGGGGGGCAATGCAGTACCTTCATTACATGCTGTCCAGGGACAATGGCCACAAGTATGCCCCACGTCACAACACATCCATTTCTATAAAGGTAGACCTATATATAAACCACAACCATCACACCCACAAAGTACCCCCCAGGGTGAGACAAAAAGAATAAAAAGTACAATGTCAGTTAACTAGGCCAGTGCAACAAAAAGTATTTTACATTTCCCAGCCCTGATATTTAAAAATATGTGCACGGGGAGAGGGGGGGGGGCAATGCAGTACCTTCATTACATGCTGTCCAGGGACAATGGCCACAAGTATGCCCCACGTCACAACACATCCATTTCTATAATGGTAGACCTATATATAAACCACAACCATCACACCCACAAAGTACCCCTCAGGGTGAGACAAAATTTAGACTTCCTTAACGCCTCCACAGGTCTTAATCCATAATGCAACACTGGAGGAATGGGTGCTTCAGTTTAATAATTATATTAGGGTGTATGGTCTGAAAAATATAGTGAATCGTAGATTTAATTCATTTTTTAAAGTTAATCTAAATAGTGGTTTTGACCTGCATTCCATATTTTAGCTTTATTACTCTTACATAATTAACACTGCGTCATAATTTATATTTTTAAAAGTTGTTTTTTTTTACATAAAGCAATGCAAATGTATAATTACCTGGTCTTAATTTCTTTTCAGACAAACAACAATTAATCTTATTGTGGAAAGTTAAACATTGTAGCTATGGACAGTTCACCCATAGAGGACCAGGTTTCATCTGAACAACTTGATGACAGTAAATATGCTTCCTATTTTTTTTTTTCAGTATACTTTAAAGTATCATTGCTTAAAGTTATCAAAGAAAAGTTTAATTTAAATTTATGTATCAATTTTAAATGTGTTCATTTTATGTTGTTTAAATCATAAATAGGAAGTGCTTAAAGTGTCAAGGATATACCTGTGATGCAGCAGGTTCTAAAAAAAATCAATCTTAAATTGCTTTCTTACTGTGCAGATGCCACTGTAGAATGCTCCATACCAAGTGATTGTGACCTTGGTAATCAAGTGTTTACACTTGTCAGTAGCAATGGAAGTCAGTTTGTGGTCATGTCATCTGGTGCAGATACTCTCAACCTGGCAAGCTCAGGACTCATACAGACTGGAGGCCAGTCTGTGGCAGTGAACATTGATGATGCCACACGTTATCTTCTGCAAAATCAGGGAATGACTGGTGTGATGCTACAAGATGAGACATATCAAATTTTGGAACAGCCATTAGTGCAGGTATATTTTAGAATTCATCACTTATTTCATTGGTCCAATGATTGAAATACCACATTTCAAATTGATATTCATTAAATAAGGTGAGAATATGTTTTCAGAAATTGTTAAAGTAAAGTTCACATTTGCTCAAGGGTTTAATTTATTTCAGCTTTTATTGTATTTATTTTTCTAATGAACAAAGTAAATATCCTAGGATGTTAAAGACTATTTAAGATAATCTAACAGAAATTATCATGGAGCTTTTCAAACTCAATACCTAAACTAACAGGGTATTAAAATATGAATAAACAGGTAGAAAGAGAAGATGGCACATTAGAGGCCCAAACACTTCATATTGAGGTTTTACGAGCCTTACAAGATAATCTAGCTCAGCAGCTCCCATCTCTTGACTCGTGTTATACAATCGAAGGAATGGACAGCTTGGATGAGACATCATCATCATCAATTAAAGTTGAAGCTCCCCTGGACTCAAATGCTGATGAGTCAGTAAATGAAGACTCTGTTGACCACACAGATCTAACCAGTAATAAAACTGCTATTTCTCTCATGGCTGGTCACTCATTAGATGATTCTGACTCAGCTAGTGGCTCTGACATCAAGAAGAAAAAGCATTCACAAAAGGAGGTAAATAGTTTCCTATTGATATCATAAGGTTCCTCAAAAGACTAGGCTGGCTTTTTAACTTTTTGTTACTGATTTGTTCTGTATTCTTCAGTTCTATATTTGGCAATGTTATATTTTGGTAAAATTTCATCTAGAAAAAAGGAATAAAGTTAAATTTTGTGTTTGAATTAAGAATACTTCATTCCTTTACATAAGCTTCTCTTTTTTTCTTATGCAGTGTAAGGGCCAGTTAGTCTTGACATTTCAAATGTTTTCCTGTTGCTTTGATTTTTTTCTAGATATATAAAATAACCATTAAAAGTCCTTTTATATATGAGCTATGTTGCATGTTAACAGGAATGATAATAATTAAAATAATCTTTAAAAAATATGTAAATATTAAGTTGTGATAGTTGCAAAAGACTTATTCAATGACTTCATTGAAACTCACTTCCATATTTTTTTAGTGAGTGTTAAAATTTCAGTGAGACACATAAGTTAACTTTTCTGTTTTAATTAAATATCTAGGCTAAAAAGCTAACTGCGAAAAAAGAACCATCCAAACAGCCAGATTTGAACAGTCCTATCCCTCTCTCAGATCAAACAATAATCATGGTTAAAGGGAAGAAATGTGTCCTGGCTTTTAACCAGGAAACCCAGCAAGTTTGCGCTTACCCTTTAAAGCCACCTCCAGGTAATTCATGCAAGTGTTCAAGAAGTTCTTACTTAACCACAAATACTTTATTTAAAACAAAGGAAATGGACGGATGAATTTCCTCAAGCTTCTTTATAGTAAGTGTATAACTTAAATAAAGATGTGATATCTAATGGTGAAAAAAATGTGCCATATAGTGCAAGAAAGTTTTAGTTATACTCACATCACATTCAGTTTTATGAGGCATGGTATAAATGTTAGACTTCAATGATTTGGCCAGTTTGAAGGAAGTTTAGTTACATTTCAGTTTCAACAAAATAATAGTAACTCCATAGCCTCCTGACTATCATAATCCATTCAGTGATGTCCTGTTAAAGTTAGCAGATTTGACTCTTACATTAGGTGCAAAGCGTAGAGGGCGGCCCAGGTTGACGGAGGAAGAAAAGGCAGAAAGAAAAAAACAACTGCAAACTACTGGGGGAGACGAGACGATTGCAGAAGTTACCTCCCCTACAGAAAAAAGTAACGCTGCTGAAACACTGTTGGAACTCTCTAATGTTGGTGAGTAGAAGTTAGTTGTTATAATATCAAAATATTTCTACTAAATGCTTTATTTCTCATGAATAGCTATTAACCATGTCCTTCTCTGTGTGTTATTTGTTTAGTTTTCTTTGCTTAATAAAATAATAAAAAGGCTCAAGTTATAAGATTAATTAAAGAATGTCAATCTGTTCTAATTATGTTCTTAACGCTATTATAATTCAGTCTTGGCTTTAAAAAAGAATGTTGGTTTATTATGAACATTTGAATGATCAAATTTATTTTTTTTAGGCTCTGATGGTGTGAGAAGAAGTGCAAGAAAAAGAAAAAAAGCAAAGTTGTTTGATGGTAATTGATAAATAAAGTATTCGGAAACTTAAAATAAAATTGTTCAAACATGTATCTAATTAGAGCCCTAAAAATAAATATTGCTTGTTTTAGGAATATTATAATTAATCAATGGTTTGACATTTACACCAAATAAATGATTGGATGATAAGGTTGTCAGTGACCTTTTCTCATCATCCAAAAATTTATCTTGAGGATACTCTAAATGACAAAATTGGTTTATTTAAATTATTTATAAAGTATGTGATTAAATGTTTTCTTCATCTCCAATGTAGAATATGAAGAACTGGAGGATTCTGATGATGACACTGAGCCACCATTTATAGACAGTCAAGATAAAGATCCAGACATCAGCCTCAATCTTTCAGAAACAAAAAGGAAAAAGATAGTTGTGAAACAAGAGATTCAACTTTCACCTTCCACGATAATGTTATCTGACCCAACACAACGTAAGCAATTTACCAAAATAAATTATAGCATTTTTGTTTTTGTAAAATATTATTCCATTTTTTTAATAATCACAGATTTGTTTTTAAAGAAAGAAAATAATTGATAAATCAATGTCATTCTGAATTTTGTATGAGTCTAAAAGTAACAAGATTTTCATTTGCAATATAAAAAAACATGTACCATTTTCAAGATACCATCACAATCATCTAAAAAGAGTATTTTGTTTAGTTAATCTGATTTTTTTAAAAATGTTTTTTGCCTTTATTTTTTTGACTATGATAAATCAAGAGTAAACACACACATTAATTATAATGCCATATTAAAAGTATAATCAGTTACACATCTTATATTTTTAGCAAAAAAACGAGGTAGAGGGCGGCCACGTCGATATCCACCCCCTGGTCAGCAACAAACTCATACCTCCATACCAGCTGTGATGATTCCATCTGCAAATGGACAAACTTTAGTCATGGCCCCAATACAGGTGTGTGATTTCTGATGGATCTATATCGTACAATGAATTGAGGCTAAAATTCTGCCTCAATCATCTTATGTTTCTTCTCATACTTTTCAAAAGAAACTAATTGCAAACTCTTTTCATAATCCAACTTTTTACTCAAAAATATTTTTATTTTTTTTTCCTCAATTTTCTTTCAAAGACATATTGAAGAACTAACATAATTAGTAAACACAAGACCACTTTCTGTTTTCTTCTTTTCTTCCTCTTCCATACATATTAATATAATCACTGGAACTTATTCGAATAGGTCATAGATTGATGATATAATTCTAACCCCTGTTTTTCAGGGGCTGCAAAATCTTCAGAATTTCCGCAGACAGCTGCCCAATCTTATTCCCAAACCTCCCTCTGATGTAAATTCCTCTATGGCTCATGAAGTGACAGATCCAGCTACATTGTCACTTGGCAGTGACACTGACACATTGCCTTTAGATACTTCAGGAGGTAATAAGTGTGTTATAGTTTCAGGACAATTGTTCGTTTTTTTTATTCATTTTTATTTCAGCCAGGATTTCATCCCTGTTACAGGAAACAAAAATTCAATAGAGCTCGGTGCTCTTTTTCAACAAATATCATCCAGAATATCAAGCAGAATCGGCCATAGGGCTTAATTTAATGTATTTATTTGTTTTTATTCCCATTTCAGCCCTTGATAGTAATAGTATTATACCCAAGGCACTTCAAGGGGACACAATTCCATTAGGAGATGGTGAAACACCTGATCAAGGGGATACCCTGGACCAACAGAGTGTGTACAGCATAGTATATAAATTATAAGACTCAAGCTATTTTCTGTTTACTTACTTACAAAGCCCACTCTGTAAATGTTAATAAATTCATCTGGTTTTAGATAAATCAATTCAAAAATCAGTGTAATGGTCCTCATTGTAACATTTTTTTAAAAATGTCTATGCTTAATTGATCCAGCTTCAAGCATGTTGACTTTTATGACACCAACAAGCTCCATGTCAGATAAGTCTAAAGATGGCCAGATGTCTGAGGGTGTGATAAACTCCAACCAGGCAACAGTCATTCAGATTCCAAACAACTTGCTGGCTTCTCTGGGCTTTAAGAAAGATCCAATTAAGATTGGTAAGTAGTTATTAGTTTGGTAAGTAGTAATTAGTTCTAATTGTGTTGAAAATATAACGATGAAAGATTCTGATAGGCAGAAAAGACATTACAATAAAATAAGTTGGGTGGATGCAAGTTTCATGAATACAAAACTTGTGTGCTACAGTTAGAGTTTTGTCATTCTCAGCTTATATAGTATATTGGCATCCTTGCGTCTTCACGAGGCGATGGTGTAGCTTAAATATTATTGCTCAGCTTATAGCACGAATTGTAAAAAACTTGACTAAGTGGAAATAAAACATTTTTAATTTATTTCAAAGAATGAAATCTTTTCACGTGTTTATCCAAAATAATCATGATACATATTTAAAGGACTGAAGGCAACAGAGCGGGAACTTGAAAAACTGAAGTGCCCAAAATGTGATTTCCAAGGCTACTACATGCAGCAATATCGTACACACATTGCCACCCATGGAGATGATCTACAGAAATGCAAATGTTGCAGTTATCTTTCATTGGATAGTGAAGATTTATTGGAACATTTTAAGGTGATTCTCTTCAAGTTGATGCGCACCTGTAATATTATCCTAATTGCTGTAAAAATATTTCAAAAATGGCCTATAACAAAAACTGGTTTATTATTCTCCTGACCTTTGTATACTGGTATTTTCTTAAGACTAATAATGCATCTATGACGTAAAAGTAGCTCCTTGTAAGGGAGCCATGGTACATTTAGATGATGGGATATTTTAATGCTGCTTTATGTTGCAGGAATATCATCCCCGCTGTATATGCCAAGAATGTGATTATATGGCAGAACATGCTTACATCATTAAACGTCACATGATGCGCCATGATACCAAAAGTTGTACATGTACAGCATGCGGGAAGGTGTACAAGGTATCACATATTTGGTGTTAAATAATGATACATTTAGATAATTACTAGCTGGGGCACATGTAAAATATGGGAATAGGTTATGTAATCTTTATTAAAAACTGCAGATGGCGCTCCGTATATCCACCAATATTTAGTTGTATTGGCTCTATATAGAGTGAGTAGTGATGGGTATTGTTGCCGTTTTCTTTGGGTATTGACTGTTAGTGGTGCCATTTCAGTAGTGTATTTACATGTACTGACACCATGTTAGTTTTAAAGCTGGCATATTTGGAATCAGTAAAAGGCTCCCTGATTCAACAGTACACCAGTGTGAACACAGCAAGGTGGATATCAAATATATTCTTTTATAAATATATGGTGGCACACCACAGGGGAAGCAGCAAATGATAGCGCAGCATGGTGCGCAATGAGAGTTGTGAGGATAAGATCCACTCTGGAATTATTATTATAAATATTACACTGTAGATTGATTTAGTTCTTTGGGAAGAAAATCTATTAAAGTTAGCTTTCAGAACCATAACTTTTCTATCATATTTACAAATATGCTTTACAGGTGCAGACAAAAACTACTGGAAACACACTCATAATTCTTATTCCCCACCTTTTTTAAATCTTATATTTTATTTCAGAATTTTTCTTTTAAATGAAGCAACAGTGTGTTAATTATTTCTTTACCTATCCTTAATATATTAAATCAAAAAAAAATTTGTTATATTTTTCATTCTAGGATATGTACATTCTGAAAATGCACATAAAAATGGTGCACATGCCAGCTGAAGTTTTGTTTGAGTGTACAGTTTGTTCTAAAAAGTTTACACGCAAAGCACATCTTAAAAGACATTTGCGCATACATGAACCAGAGAAACCATACAAGTGTACAGTTTGTGATTACAGGTTTGGAATCTGCTTTTCTCTTCTTATCGCATAGTTTATAATGAACTTGTTTGCTTAATACAAGTTTTATAATTTTGTTTGAAGCCTTAAAATAACCTTTTTAAACAAAATGAAGCTGCTTCACAGTGTCTTCCTTGCTTCTGCAACATTTATTAGTTTTCACTTTTAACAAACATTGCCAAAAATTGTTCCGTTTTTATTATTTATTTTTTTTCTCAGAGGCTGTGAAAGATCTGATATATCTAAACACATGTTAATACATCAGGATCCGAAGCATGCTTGTGAACGCTGTGGAAAAACATTTAGACATATTAAGAACAAAGAGCTTCACGTGAAAAGGTATTTTATCATCCTGGCCGATTCAAATGACTTTTGCTGGTCATTCATGATTAAGAATTCTTTGAATTAATTTTGGATTTCATTTCATTGCTACCTTAAGAATGAGGCTGCAACTTGAGCTTAAAATAATCTTTTCCACCAGACTTCTTGGATCTAATCTTCAAATTATCTATTAATTAAAAATAACTATGGAAATGGGTTACTGAATTATTTTACACAGATCTCATTAGGACCACAGATAGACCCAACTGTACCATTGTATCTTACTTACATTTTTATATATTCCTCAAGTAGATTGGAAATCATAGGAGCTTTTATCAATTATGTATGGTAAATAATTTTTAATCTATTTTCATTTCCATTTTATAATGCACCTTTTGTCAAATTAAATATATAGCTTAAGGTGTGCTTGAATTATTTGTTTTCATGACAGACATTTTGGCCAGAGAGATTACAAGTGTGGTGTGTGTGACTTTTTTGGCTACACTTTCACTGATATAAGGAAGCACATAGAACGAAAGCATCAGGATATCAAAACTTTGATCTGTGATAAGTGCAACAAACCTTTGAAAAATGAACTTGCTCTTAGGGTAAGGGGTCATTTCAGTTTCAACCAATTATTTTACTTTATAAAGTAATATTTTTATTTTATTCAAATACCACTTTATACACTGGTGTGTTGCAGATAGTTCATTTTGGGTGTTTAACATGATTTAGATATCAAGGAGTTTAAAAATATTTTTGGCGGCTTGTAAAACGATACCAATAACGTATTCAAACATAAAATTTAACAATGATAAAATAATAAAATTGATGCTCAGTGAAAAAGCTGGGTTGTTGTTAAAATAAGCTTTAAATTTTAAATTAAATCTTAAATAAATATTTAATTTCAAAGTAGTTATCTGTTGGAAAAATGCCAGTAACTTTAAATGAACTCTTAGCTTTTCCATGAGGGCAACATAAAAACAATTAGGAATTGCAACTTATAACTGAGTAGTTGACATGGAGATAAAATGATTTTAATTTGCCCAGGAACATCAACAAACGTGTAATGTCATGATGATTGAGCAAGTCCTGGCCATACCTACGTCAGCAGGTGGCACGAGTCAGGCTACCATCCAAATACCGTCCAATCTTAGTCCTGATGGCCAGCTCATTCTGGATGGGCAGACCATAACAATGGATGGACAGACCATCTCAGTCAAGAAGAATGGAGTCATCATGGTTTCAGGGGGTGAGTCAATATATAGGACTAAGATCAAGTTAATGCTGGGATGTTCATGATATTAATCACCAGTGATGCCAGGAGGAATGTTGAGGATAACTAAGTACACATTGAAGAATTTTCATGAATATTGATTTTTTTTTTAAAATTAGGGTTAAATTGATTTATTGAAAATTTTACATTTGCTCTGTCATTGGTGTATAAAGCAGTTAATATAGGTGATTTGCACTTTGGTTTGCATCATTTGATGTCACTTTCAAGCCATTTTTACAATATACTAAATGGCAGATAATGATATGAATTAAATAGTTCAAATTAGCATTTTCTAAGCAAAATGGTCTTTAGTGAAATCATCAAAAATAGCATACATTTTGAAAGAAATAAAATTCTTTGCCTTTAAGTTTCAGAGCAACAGCTGATCCTGGCTGATGGAACAACAGAAGAGGAGGAAGAAGAGATGGATGATGAAGAGGGGGGAATAAATAGAGCCATGCAGATCATCAGTGAAACCATTATGACAGAATCAGGGGAAGAGATGCACATCATATCGCAAGAACAGTTGGGGGACCCAGGCTCCATGGACGCTAGTGTCACCCTCACCGAGGGCCTACAAACAACACACATAATAGATCAAAATGGTCAGATTTTGAGGACCTCTGATGGCATTCATTTGCTTAATCAAAATGGGCAGTATTTTTACAAAACAGAACAAAGTGAAGAGCAATCTGGTCATTTAATGGATGAAAGTAAACCATTGGTTGATGAAAGTGGCAAGATGGTTGAACAAAATGGTGATATTGAGGATGAAGTGATGACTCACCAATTCATAAATCAGTCTGGGGAGTCAGGACATGAATTAGAGACCTCAGAAGAAATGGAAGGGAATATTGATCATTTACAAGTCAGCAAGGAGGATTCCAACAGTGCAACTTTCCCTCGGGAACAAACAGTTCATACAACAGACCAAAATGCAGACTCATAGCAGGATAATATTAATGGGTAGTTTTTCTTCTTTTTTTAAAAAAAGAAGGTCATTGTAAAAACAGATTCATAACAAGTTAAATTTTTATATTTAGTTACTGGAAAAGTATTTTTGCTTTTTGATCCCAGTGATAATGGAGCTGTTTCATTGATCTAGAAATTCCAAAGCAGTTTTTTCCCAAAACTTTTATTTTTATGGAAGCTCTCCGCATTGACTGCTAGTAACCAAAGATGCATGTTGTACATCCTTTGTAACTCATTATAGTTTTTTTATATGGCTGCTTAAGTAAATGTCTAAGACTGATGGTTATTTATCGATAAATGGTAGTAAATAAGTCTAAAGTTATGACACAATTTTATCTATTTGACACTTAACTTTGTTAAATGTTAGTTAAATATTATATAATTATATTTCTTGTTATAAGATTTTATAGCAAAGAAATGAACATTAGTACGGCATCAACTCATCAACCTATTTTAAAGTTTAAATGATATAACTATACCAGTACAACTTATTGGAAGAACTATTTGGCACTGCTGAAAATGTTCTTAAGGCATAAACAGTTTAGTTGTACATGAAGCACAGTTTCTGGCTATCATGCTTACCTCCCGGTATTTGCTGTAAATATTGATTAATTTATTGATATATGCATACTGAAATAGTTGTTGTATTTTCATTTGATAAGAAGTGTATTTTCTTTTGATCTTACTGTAAACTGTCACTTGTGGACATCTCAGAAGCCCAATATCAGATTTGAAGGAGTATTTTGTTAAGTGATCTATTTTCTAACTCATTTTACTCTGTGTCAGATGAACTAAGATTGAATGTATTAGTATTGGCTTAGAGATGCAATCGGGTCAGTGTTACAACCTGTGAAATGGAAATCCAAATACAGTATTTAAATTTAAAATAGTTTTGTTGTTAATACATGTTTCATATTTAATTTTCCAGATGTGTATTGAGAATGACTATATCTATAATTGTTTCCATACTGTAGTGAAAGTGGAGTGTGTTTGGTTTGCTAAGTTTAGAAATCTAATGACCTAAACTATTTCTTAAATATTAAAAGTTACTTTGATGGATGAAGTGTATAGAAAAGTGTGTGCTCAAAACACAGTTACAGTAATTGATGTATTAGTTCTACGGTACTGGTTATAGTAATGAATTCTTCACAAGACAAAGTGTAGCAAGAAAGTATCCCTTCAAATGATCACTAAACAAAAATATAACAGGTAGCATAGTATACAGACTTAAAGAGTGAGCTAAACAAATAGAACATTAAATAATTTACCCTCAACTTAAGGTGTGATGGGCTGGGCTCAACCCGTTATCAGGATAAATACCTAAGCTTATGTGTTGAGGATGTGAGGCATTTGGCTTTGTAAACAACTTAAATTACTGTTATTGTTGTTTTGACTGTCACGATTTGGGAAATAATCATATGATCCATGATATGATGAATTCATTTAAGGATAACAACAGTGAGACACAGGATGATTCTTCACTGAAAAGGACATGATGTCAAAATAGTTAAGTAGGTAAATGCAGCCAAGGCCTCATGCCAGACAAATTAAGTGGATGGCTTGCTGAGGGCTGTCTTTTTAATTATATTTTTAATGAATCTTACACCGATTCCAAAGAAAAAAAGCCACTTGCAATAATACCCTATACCCTGTAACATTCCCTTCTATTGTAATAATGTCCTACACCCTGTAACATTTCCCTCTTGTAATAATGTCCTACACCCTGTAACATTCCCTTCTGTTGTAATAATGTCCTACATACACCCTGTAACATTTCCCTCTGTTGGAATAATGTCCTACACCCTGTAACATTCCCTTCTATTGTAATAATGTCCTACACCCTGTAACATTCCCTTCTAATGCAATAATGTCCTACACCCTGTAACATTCCCTTCTAATGCAATAATGTCCTACACCCTGTAACATTCCCTTCTATTTTAATAATGTCCTACACCCTGTAACATTCCCTTCTAATGTAATTATGTCCTACACCCTGTAACATTCCCTTCTATTGTAATAATGTCCTACACCCTGTAACATTCCCTTCTAATGTAATAATGTCCTACACCCTGTAACATTCCCTTCTAATGTAATAATGTCCTACACCCTGTAACATTCCCTTCTATTGTAATAATGTCCTACACCCTGTAACATTCCCTTCTATTGTAATAATGTCCTACACCCTATATCTGTAATATTTCCCTCTGTTGAAAGGGATGTTTTGGGATTTATCCTAAAAGAAATGTTAAAAGCAGTTCAGTAAAAAGCTCACCTCCACTAATTTGCTTATAAATCTATTGTAATAATGTCCTACACCCTGTAACATTCCCTTCTAATGTAATAATATCCTACACCCTGTAACATTTACCTCTTGTAATAATGTCCTACACCCTGTAACATTCCCTTCTATTGTAATAATGTCCTACACCCTGTAACATTCTCTTCTATTGTAATAATGTCCTACACCCTGTAACATTCCCATCTATTGTAATAATGTCCTACACCCTGTAACATTCCCTTCTAATGTAATAATATCCTACACCCTGTAACATTTACCTCTTGTAATAATGTCCTAGACCCTGTAACATTCCCTTCTATTGTAATAATGTCCTACACCCTGTAACATTCCCTTCTAATGTAATAATATCCTACACCCTGTAACATTCCCTTCTATTGTAATAATGTCCTACACCCTATATCTGTAATATTTCCCTCTGTTGAAAGGGATGTTTTGGGATTTATCCTAAAAGAAATGTTAAAAGCAGTTCAGTAAAAAGCTCACCTCCACTAATTTGCTTATAAATCTGCTGGAATCGCCGAGGATGCCATCCTGTTATTGTTAGAATGACTTAACCATCACCTCAGATGCCCTAAAACATACGCTGGGCAACTTTTTGTAGACTTTTCATCAACATTTAACACTAACCGTCCACACCTTACGATTAAACAGATTTCTTCTATTAAAAAGCTTTCTTTGTTAAATGTTGATTCAAGCATGGTTTCTGAACAACTTCTAACAAAGGTGTCAAGGTGGATTGCCAAATATTAACTAGAGAAATAGTACTTGGACATCACATGCTTGGGCTCTCACCCCTGTCCTGTATGCAATATATACCAATGTAAATTGTACTGTAGGCATTATATATCAATGGTATAGCTGTACTGAATGAAAATGTGAAATGATGAACTTGAAAAACTCTGAGGTTCTCAATCAATACTTTATTAATTAAAATTAAAGTTAATAAATAATTTTCAAAATATTTGCATTCATTTGTACTAGATACACTTCAGACATTCAAATAAAATAAAATATACAAGAACAAATTATTTCCACCCATTGACAGTTCCAATCTAAGTGTACCAATCTACGTTTTTTTCCATTGTTATAAAGCATACGATTTATGTTGCCTCAATTTCCCAAGATGAATGATTGAAACATTATTTATATTTACATGGGTTTTTATTAAGTGAACCATATGGTCAACTCTATAACTTTATTAATAAATTGTTCGGCAAAAAATAAAAACAGTGCACAGTGCACATTTCAATATTATTTTGTCAGACGTTTTAAATTTTGTTTTAACAATGATACGGGCTGCTTAAATAAAAATACAATCAACGTTATAATTGTACAAGGTCAAGGATATATTTTACAAGTTGGCTTTCCCAGGGGTAGGTAATTTAATCTTGGGTTCCATATCAGGAACGGCAACTAGGAATGACGTTTAGGGCACTTTTAAGCCTCTTTAGTTCTTTAAAACACTTAAATTATTACAGCTAGGTGATCCTAATCTGATGTCTGTTTCTAGAATTGTGTGTTTCTAGACTCTACTCTATTTTTTGTGTTTTCTCCTCCCAATTATTTCTAGAGAGAAAAGTTGAAAGTATCTGTCAATGAATAATGGAATCATTTTAGTTTCTCGTTTTCTAAAGACACTCGAGGCAGCAAGCCCCGTTGGAGATAATCCGGCAGTAGACACCACTGCACTGGTCGAGAAATCAACACACATTCAAGACGTTTCAAAACTCAAGGCTGCTCCTTGTAGGTGTACTCTAATATGACCGTGGGAACATCGTCGCGGATGTTCAGACAGACGTTTTCTGTCAGTTCTTCCGTGGAATAGTCTGTCTTGACGAGTATGCTGGTCCCGGGTTGCAGTTCGTTGATATCCTCCGCCTTGATTGGTGGGGTGCGATAACAGCAGCAGAGACGTCGGAAACACTGAAGACAAGATAATGTGACCAATGAGATTCAAGGAAATTTGGATCCATTGAAAGCAGCGAAACAGTGACCTCTGAGATGCAGAGAAAAATGGACCAATGCGATGCAATGAAATATGAAGTATCTATAAGATGCAGTGAAAATGGCCCAATGAGATGCAGAGCGGTAGGAACCAATGAGATGCAGAGAAATAGGGACTAGTGAAATGCGTTGAAATAGGGACTAATGAGATGCGGTGAAATATGAACTAATGAGATGCAAAGAAATGGGGACTAATGAGATGCGGTGAAATATGGACTAATGAGATGCAAAGAAATGGGGACTAATGAGATGCGGTGAAATATGGACTAATGAGATGCAAAGAAATGGGGACTAATGAGATGAGGTGAAATATGGACTAATGAGATGCAAAGAAATGGGGACTAATGAGATGCGTTGAAATAGGGACTAATGAGATGAGGTGTAATATGGACTAATGAGATGCAAAGAAATGGGGACTAATGAGATGCGGTGAAATATGGACTAATGAGATGCAAAGAAATGGGGACTAATGAGATGCGGTGAAATAGGGACTAATGAGATGAGGTGAAATATGGACTAATGAGATGCAAAGAAATGGGGACTAATGAGATGCGGTGAAATGGGGACTAATGAGATGCGGTGAAATATGGATTAATGAGATGCGGTGAAATATGGACTAATGAAATGCAAAGAAATAGGGACTAATGAGATGCGGTGAAATAGGGATTAATGAGATGCGGTGAAATAGGGACTAATGAGATGAGGTGAAATGGGGACTAATGAGATGCGGTGAAATAGGGATTAATGAGATGCGGTGAAATAGGGACTAATGAGATGCGGTGAAATAGGGACTAATGAGATGCGGTGAAATATGGATTAATGAGATGCGGTGAAATATGGAATAATGAAATGCAAAGAAATAGGGACTAATGAGATGCGGTGAAATAGGGACTAATGAGATGCGGTGAAATGGGGACTAATGAGATGCGGTGAAATAGGGATTAATGAGATGCGGTGAAATAGGGACTAATGAGATGCGGTGAAATGGGGACTAATGAGATGAGGTGAAATGGGGACCAGTGACATGCGGTGAAGTAGGGACTAGTAACATGCGGTAAAATTGAAACCCATAGTCATAGGTTGCATACAAAGTGTCCCTTTAAGTCTTGGCCCTTTCATAAGTGACAACGTCAGGGTTGGTTGAAAACTCTATTACAAAGGAGTTGGATTAAGCTATAAGCTAAATGACAACGTCCCGCAATGTGCTGATTCAAAATGAACATAATTGACGAGTCCGTGCAGTTAGTTCACTATCAATAAGTGGAGAAAGCAAATACTTTAGATTTATCCTATTTCTATTACTACGGGTGAATGCTAAAACGACTTTCAAAAGCACTTTCCATCACTAAATCAATTAATGGTGGAAAATCCGGTGCAAACTTTAATAGTCATAAATATATATGACCAGGGCCGGCGTTAGGAAGGGGCGGGGGCCTTGGGCAAATTGAATTTTACATAACCCGGCGGATAAGATGTTAAGATATGTCATAATGAGGGGACACATCATAGTACTACTGGTCATAATGAGGGGACACATTATAGTACTAC